TTCGCACTTGTGTCTTGGTCTAGCAAAAAACAAAATTCCATTGCACTATCCACAGCCGAAGAGGAATACATTTCGGCCCAAGTTGTTGTGCACAAATACTTTGGATGAAACAACTCTTTGTAATTATCACTTGCTTTATGATCATGTGCATATTTTATGTGATAACACTAGCGCTATTAATTTATCTAAAAATCTCGTATTGCACTAACTAAGCACATTGAAATTCGTCACCACTTTCTTCGTGATCATGTACAAAAGGGAGATATCGCATTAGAATTTATCAAAACTAAAGACCAATTAGCCGATATTTTCACTAAACCTCTCGCGCATGATCAATTTTCTTATATTAGAAGAGGTTTGAGTATTATTGATGAGTATGATATAAATGGATAAAAAAAAAGGTGTTACCCAACAAGTCCGGTAGAATATTTTGTACCAAACAAGTCCAAGCGGACTGTTTGGCACAAGCGTCCGATTTGGTAGAAGTTTTTGAACTTTTGTCCTATCGGACGTCCAGTACACTACAAATCAGATTTTTAAATCGCGAACAGAGGGCTTTTTTTTCCATTTCATTTCCCTTCTGCTCGATTTCTCTCTCTCACCTCACTCGACTTTCACCATTTTCTCATCTAACTTCTTCAATTAAACACCAAATTGTTCATTTCCCTTCCTCTATATCATTTTCCACTTCAACATCTTCCAATTTCCTTCATTTTTTTTCTTAATTCGAAACCCTAGCCCCATTTCTTTCAAATTTCTTCAAATCTCAAAATGGTGGGCTCAAAACCAAAGGGAAAAAGAACAAAAGAAAGGGCAAGCAGGCCTCCACAACCATCTTCCAATGAAGAAATGGATTTCGAGCCCGAAGTGCCGATAAAGCCATTTGAAAAGTCACCCACTCTAATTGGTAAGAATGTAGATTTTTCGGATTTCACTATCGAAGCACCTGCATTTCACATAGAAGATTTTTTTGAAAATATGGGTTGGATATCTGTTTGCACCTTAGAAGAACATGCCTATCCCAGCTCATGAAGGAATTTCATCACAAAATGGTTATCACTTGGTCGAATGAAGTTTCTTGTTTGATTAACAATGTACGTGTCACAATTATCAAAAACTTAATTCGTGATATCCTTGAACTTGATGAATGGGATATGAAAATTTTTGTTCATAAAGCTCGTCTAACATTTGAAGGTTACTCCCCGACCGACGCTTGTCGTGGTGTAACGGGAAAAGATTTTGATATTATTACAAAAAGTAATGCAAATCAACTTACTCTTCCATGCAAAGTTTTCCAAAATATTATTTCGCATGTCATTCTTCCTAGGAAGGGCCATCAGGATGAAGTGAACTGCTTTGATCTTTTCATACTAGATTCATTCCTTGTTGGTCGAACATTAGATTTCCTGACCATTGTCGTCGATCTCATGAAACTTATTCATTCCTCTCATTATGCAAAGGCATTGCCTTACCGCGTGTTACTTACAAATTTTTTTGAACACTTTGACGTTACATTGCATGATGATGCCTTCGTTAAACTCGGTTCCATTGACACTATCAACATACACACACTCAAACGCATGAAAATTACTAAATCACATGGTCAATGGGTGGCTCAAACAAAAGGGTTCGACCTCACTTCGGGACCCTCTTCTTTAGCTTTTGAAGAAGAAGAAAATGATGAAGAGGAGGCGGAAGATACTTCACACATTCCTCATGCTTCATCCAACATTTTCGGCTCAAGTACTTCACGTCCTTTGGGTGGTCGTTTCACATTTATCGAAGACCACTATATCTTCTAAATGGTAGGATTGATTCTCTTACGACTACCGTTGATGGCCTTGGTGGAATGCTTCATCAAATTCAAGATCAACAAGCTCAAATTCAAGCTCAGCAAGATGCCATTTTAGCACATCAAATAGAGATGCAGGCTTGGCAAAATGAGTTCTATGCGCAGTTCTTTGCCCACTTTCGTTCTCCACCACCTCCGGCTCCTTAGGCCTATCTGAATTTTGTTATCGTTTTACTTAAACTTTTCACTTGTTTAAATATCTTTCCTATGTATTTTGAATGTTACCTTCTATTGCACTTACTTTGGTTGCCTTCTTTATCTGCTTTATATGTCATTATTTTTGCTTATGCCAAAAGGGGGAAGTGATATTGGATGATTTTGCATATCGAAAAGGGGAATATGAGTATAAAATTTAGGAGGAATATGATTATGATTATGTACATCGATAGGGGGGATTATGTCCAACTATATACTTCTCAATTCTTTTAAAATTATTTTCATATTGCAAATCATCGTGTCTGTCATAATAAAAAAGGGGGAAATTGTTGACCTATGATTGACTTCTCGTTTTGATTATCATAAACACATCACATTTATTTCTAACAAATTTATTTGAGTATTGATAGTCAACATGCAAACCAAGCTTTGAAGAGGCAAAGCGACAATCAAAGGATAATTAACATGATGGAAAAGTCTAAGTACGGCATGCACGTCAAGACAAAGAGTCATATTGAAAATAGTAGACTTAGAACTCTTAATCTCATATGTAAAGGTAATAAGCTTCAATAGTTTGGCAATATATCGTAAAAAGACTCGAGTGTCGACTTTATACGCAAATATTTATTATTTCACCAAAACACTTTCAAAATATTTTTCCAAGATAACAAACTCAATCTTATTTCATAAAATGATAAGTATCTTGAAAAATATCTTGAAAAATCGCATATAAATATTTCTCAAAGCATTACTTTTATCAAACGATTGGAGAAAATTGATTCTGCCATAGCGAACCTCCGATAGAGAAACGGTAAAAAAATTTAACCTTTCTGACTTCTAAAAAAGCAACGGCTAGTGGACCGTCCGGTATGATAGCAGATATCTGGTAGACCTCGTCTGGTATGACATATATTTTGGCAATTTCACTGCTATAAATACCCCTTCACTTTTTCATTTAAACTAACATTTCCTTGAGCATTAAAGTGAAGTTTTTATTGATCTCAACTACTCTTTTAATTCTTTAGAAGATCAAATTAGTTACATCTTGGAAAATTCTTGAGTGATCCAAATTATTACAAATATTTTTCTGTCTCAAATTTTTCAAAGTAACACTTGAGCTATATTGATTGCAATCTATTAAAGTGTTAAGCCTACTTCTCTCTCAATACTGGATTGTGATCATTCCATCAAGAGAGAAGTTTTTCACTTGTAATATCTCATGTTCAATTGAGGGTCATGTTGAGGTCCCAAAAAGTTCAACATTGTAAAATGATCGGTGCTCCTTGGTCGTAAGTCATCGAAAGCTTTGTAGAAGGTTGGATTGCACCACAAGTCAATCACATTTAGTGAAAAAGGTCTTGCTCGTGACGGAGAGCTTGATAATGGGGGACGTAGATCGTGATTGGATCGAACCTCTATACTACATCGTTTGCATCTCCTTTCCTTTTCTCTTGTTATCTTTCGAAATTATTTTGCTTGCTTTTTATCTTATTTGCAAATTAATTATATTAGCATTTATTTTCGAAAAATATTTAAATGACCAATTCACCCCCCTCTTGGTTAGTCTTTCTTGAGCTTTCATATATATATTTCTATATTTATATATATGGTCTTATATGTTAGATTAGAGCTCTTGAAATTGAAATCAATATGAGTTTTAAGCTGTGCTACTTTACCATACATTTTCTTTGCGTAAGAACTGCATATGGCAATTACAATTCAAATATAAACAAATGAGTAAATTATCATTTTTATAGAGATATAATCCCTAATTACAAAACTTTAAATAAATTAGAAAGTCTATTATAAAAGATAATACACACGAAAGTAAACATTAAGGTACAGATATAATTAGTAGTCATAGATATAATGAATTTGACATCCAATTTTTATATATTTAATAAGTTATTGTATTATATATTAGTTGGTATTGAAAGATTTTAAATAAAATTATTGTATTTAAACATTTGCTGAGCTTAATAATTAAGTGTATTAGTTTGGGCTATGATTGAAAAAAAAAAAAATTAAATGAGATTATTAATTTGTTGAACATTTATTATTTATCAAGATTTTATTGTATAATTTTTTTTTTTTAATATTGAATTCTATTCATGTGAGAAATTTTGACAACCTCCATTATTTTCCATTTATGAGCGGTAATTGTACCCCACCCAAAAAAAATAATAATAATAAAAAATAAATAAATTTCTCATCTACAATTAGTGTTTACTTAGCACTTTTAAAATTAATATTTATTTATTTATCTATGAATTAATAAATTATTATTTCTCTAAAAATATAAAGAGGTTTTCATTTAGATTTTTCAATTATTTTAAATGACCAAAGTATCTTCCATTGCAAAGTTTATCCCTGTAACTAACTCTGTCAGTTTATAACTTTTTATAACTAACAATACAACACATGAAGCAAGTTTAGAACTCCAAATATTTGACAAACAACAACGTTCTTTATTTGATTCCTGTGTTTAGTCACTCGGACTTCTAGAACAAAAGAACTAATTAGGAGCACAAATGCGAATTGAATAATGTCACTTAACTAATCAGGCTTAAAAATAGGGAAAAATGAGACATACTGATTTGACAGTAAATAATTGATGTTTTTTATTTTAATTTTTCAGATTGTCCAATTACGCATCGACACGCGTTCTACCTATTTTTGAACATATATGTGAAGCATGATTTATGCGAATTATCCAAATATTGGGTATAATCACTGTCTCATTACACTAACAATTGAAATATAACTTTGGATTTAAAAAAAAAAAAAAGAGTTAATTTTAAAAGCTAAGTGTCTTTAAGGATAAAAAAACGATTTATAAGTATAAATTACAAAAGGAAAGTTAATTTTATTTCCTAAAACTTTCCACTCTCGGTCTCCCACTAGAATTGGTCCATTAATTCTCACCCAAACCCTATATATACAAGTGAACTTGATCGCTTTATTCTCTATCTCCCTCCCTATAATCTTTCTCTTTTACACACATACACAAAAGTACAGCCACCAATATGAATTCTAAAGATCCAAATTCCCCCACACGCGAAAAAGGTCTCTTCCGCCGCCTAAATCTTGATTGCAAGAGAAAGAGAAATCGATCAAAGCGTTTGCGCTTTCACCACCAATCAACTGATGTAGATAACATAGCCTTTTCTCTTATGATGCTCTCTCGTAGTGGTGACAATTGTCCTTCCGCTTCCTCCACCACCGCCACCAACAATGACAATAACACTATAGAATCTTCTCCTCCTCCTATTACTACTGCTCTTTTGGCCCAAAATCTTTCTCACGAGCATAGAATAAGCCACCATATCAATCCCATCTTGGCCACTCCCATCACCATGATCCCTAGCAACGCCACTTTCACCGCCAGTAATGACGAAAATATGGAATTTTCACCTCCTCCAACTGCTTTTTTTCCGGTGACCCGTAATATTTTGTATAAGTGTAACATGTGTGAGAAGAGTTTCTCATCTTACCAAGCCCTAGGTGGACACAAAACCAGACACCGCAAGTCTTCCCCCTCTACCACCGCCGTCAACAACCCCTCCACATCGAACTCCACCGCCTCAAATATCTCCGTCCTCGGTCGACCCCACGAATGCTCCACCTGTCACAAGATATTCCTCACTGGCCAGGCTTTGGGTGGGCACATGCGGCTGCATTACAAAGGCGTGATCTGCGGAGGCAAGAAAAGCAACGGTGGTGCCTCAGGCCAAAGCCATTGCAGCAACATCATCAGAGACTTCGACTTGAACATGCCGGCGTTTGAATGTCCTGAGGATATTCATGAAGTTCTTGATGATCAGCCGCTTGAATGTGGCGAGGATTTTGATGATCAGCCTTCGTGTGACGAGGGTATTCATGAAGTTCTTGATGATCAGCTTGCACGTCTTTTCTTTAGGAAAGTATTAGCAGGGAATTGGAATGTTTCTTTTTAATGTACAAGGAACAGTACTTTAAGGATTTTTCACTTTTTATTTTCCGGTCTGTTTATTTTGTGGGTTATAATACCGTATACGAACCATTCACTTTTCAATTCTTTTATTCAATTGTAATAAGAATATTTCGTTGTCATTGTGTATTCGCATAAATAATTTTTTTTTTTTTTCACTCATAATCAAAATGTATTTAAATCCAGCTATATATGCGAATATCTATTCTTCAAACTCTCCCATCCAAGATCATAAATAAATACAAATATTGAAAACCCTTCGAAATTCAGTAGGTTAGAGAATGGAAATTGTAAAATCATTTAGAACGAAGAAATTTTCATCTATTTATTTAAATTTTACGAACATCATTTTGATACTTCGACTCTTGACCTTTTACACTTTTGTAAGAAGAATTTTAAATCACCACTATTTTCTTTTTTACCCCACGTATAGATATTTTAATTTAATTCATGCATGCATGGGTTTTTGTCACCCATACGCCTACACTTGACCTACTTCTAAGCCAAATATGTAAAGGGAATCTAGTGTTCGTTTCAAGAATAATGATCCTTACAAGTCATGTGTGCCACGTTTGATCGTTATAGCAAATTGGATAATTTAATATCTATGTTTGTCACGTGTGAATTTCATATGTAGGTCGTACATGCAATTTATCAAATTCAACGTGCGAAATCGTAACAAGTAATGGATGGAGAGCATTTTTCAATGAGTGACCTAAGGATTTAGGAGTTCGGTTAGAAGTTAGGGATGCGATCTAATGTCTATTTTGTGATGAAACAATGAACTCTCATATCCAGTGATGGATGTGGAATGTTTGTGATAACTCAATGACTTTAAAAAATATTTTAAGATTCGGTTAAGAGTTAAAGAGATTGAAGTTCAGTTACTGATGAAATAATTGTTGGACGAATTTTGTGAATAGTGACGCCAAAATAAGTATAATGATGGTGACAAAGTCGAGGCAAGAGTTGGACTCTTTGTCCTTAAGTCGAATTTGCCCCGCAACGGTGCCTACGGATTTCGGCAATCGACTCCCAAGATACAACGGCTACACTTGTGTTTGTAGCACTCCAAAACACAAGTACAACGAACCAAATTTAGGCTTATGTACTCCAAGGATGAAATGAAGGAAAATCAAAATAAATGAAACGATTTTGATTTTGGAAAGAAGAGAGGATAAGAGACGTTTTGCATATCAAATTGTGTGGAATAGGACACCCAAAGGGTCCTATTTATAGACCATGAAAGGGTGTGGACGAAATGGTTGAGGTCAAACCATGTACCCTTTCCAAACAATGCACCTTTATGAAAAGGTGTCTATTCACTAATGGTTGAGGCCAAACCATGCACCCTTTCCAAATAATGCACCTTTATGAAAAGGTGTCTATTCATTGATTTTCGTCCTTTTTTTCGTAATTTTTTTTTATCCGATTTTGATTTTCGAAATGACAAATATACCCTTCAATACATGCAGAAAAATCAAAATTCTCGTTTGGCAGAAATGGACCGGCTTGCCTAGTGAACCGAGTCGAGGTCTGTGGTTGACGAGCCGGACTCGCCATTAACATTCCTATCTTGATTTGTATACATGTTTTATTTCCAATTTCTGTTACATATACGATTGGAAAGATTCTATCAACTGAACTAATCACACGTGTTGCAAGCAATGCAGTGTTTCTACCACATAATGGACAATTAGAAAAAGAACTCAAAAAAGGAGTAGCTTTTTGAAACTTTTTAATTTGATAGCGCTTCAAGAATGAGATCTGTTACGAACAGGCTCATTGATTGAACTTTATACACGAAATATGCTACTTATATTTAATATAGTGCCCATAACAATGATCACTACGTTTAACATAACTCTTTATACAGATACACACTTGACAAATTTTTTTTAGCAATTTAAAAAAAAAAAGTAAAAAAATTGGCATTCAAAAACTATAATTTCAGTTCCTTGTCAATAGTCCCTCTCATTGAGCCTGCGAACCAATTTATTCCTTCAAAAAATTATCACCCATATCGCACGATCGTTGCTCTTACTGGGGCTTGTTTGTCTACATTTTACCAAATTCTTTTACATTATTTTTTCTACAGTACTCATACCACACTTTTTCACTAAAATAATATCATACGTAAATCAAAGACATTTTTTTTTAAACCATACATTTTAACATCAATCACTATTTCATAATTTATTACTCACAAATAATGGGGCACAAACAAGCGCTAAAGTAAAACTGATGTATTGTGTAACAATTGAGTGATCCAGTTGCAACGAATTGAAGTTTAGTGATCTCTATGAGATTTTGGAAGAAGATGAGTGGCCAAAATGCAATTTCGCAATAAAATGCACTGGAATATTTTCTGACTCTCTGAGTCCATGCCACCTCAAAAGCTGTCAAAAAACCTGTACAGCTAGTCCGTTAGATCCACTTTCTGTTGCTATTTTTCGATCAATTTCACAGAATCAACTTAGAACAATACATACAGGATTTGCATACATGTATATAAACATATAGAGGTACGTGTATATATAGTCGCAAATGGCGGAGGGGAGATCGAATGGAGGATTGGTATCGGTGAACTCAATGGAGTTCCGGTGGGTGTATCAGGACGAGGAAGGGTACGAGATTGATAACGACGACAATCCCGGGGGTGGTGAGGGGGATTCGACACTGCATGATTCTGACGACGAGGATTATACAGAGAAGAAGCTCATTAGGACGGGTCCGAGGATTGATTCGTTCGATGTTGAAGCCCTCGAAGTCCCCAGCGCTCAAAGGAATGATTATGAGGTGAGTATTTTGGAGTTGATTCAGTTTGTTAGTTACAGCGTGCTTTTTCTTTTCTTTTCATTTCTTTTTTTTTCCTTTTCTTTTTCATTTTTGGGCTATTTACAAGTATTTCTAGATTTTATAAATTTTAGTTGGTCTGCTAGAAATTAAATTGGAGTATTGGAGCTTAGAACTATGAGAAAATTGGTAGCATATTATGATGTTGGAGTATGTAGTTCGGAGGAATTATAAGTATTTTTGGAATAAAAACATAATACGAAATTTATTTACTGACATTATACCATTGTTGTTATTCACCCTCTCTTGAGCATTGTGCTACCACTGTCACCCTGCAAAATGCCATCATCACTACCTAAGCAGTTGTGTATATAAATGTTTATAACTTAAGGACTTCTGGTACGAATTGCTTGATACTTCAAATATTGGCCGAGCTTATATGGAGCAGATTGAACTAAAGTCTAATACAAGTCATACTTTTTTATCAGCTGAGCTTGGATTGATAGATCTTGGCTGTGTGAAGCCCCCTCCTCCTGACAGCCGAAAGCTACGAATATAAAATATAGATCAAATTCATATTTGTGCTATAAAACCATGGTAAAATAGACACTTTTTCATTCAATTACTAGGCCTTTTTTTTTTAATTCAAATAATTTCTTGTAATTGGTATTAATAACACTTTGCATTGTGAATTGTTTGCCTAAAGGTGGATGGTAATGTAACATATTTTCTTAATCAAATAACTTTCAAGAGTAAACTTATTGAAGCAAGATTGAGTTCGCTCAAAGCAGCTGTTTGGAGCTTTATCAAGTGATCTGTAAATGTCACTGGATTTTAGGTAGAACTTAAGCTCATCATTCAGCATGGATCGGACAAGTTAAAACCCTCATCATTGATTATCTCAAGTCAAACATGCCCTTACATTACCTAATTTACACAAGGTCTTTTCTTTTAGGTATACAAGTACCTGTCCAATACCTTTATTCTAGCAAAGTAGACCAATACAAGAAGTTATGATTATTTTGTACAGACTTCTGCCTAATACTTTTATTCTAGCAAGGGTGAAGGGCTCACTTCTTCTTTTCCATCTTGTCTTTCTTTGAAAATCATTCCTAACTCATCAAATAACTGACTGGCCATGGATTACACATCATTGAAAGTCGAGGCGTCATGTGGAATTTCCATATAGCTAACCCCACACGGCCACGTCATTCTGTTAAAAAGTATTGCCATGGGTAAGGAAAGATCAAAATAGAAAGTGCATGGAATACTGTGTTGTTAAATCAAGTGCTTAAAACCAAATAAAAGCAACAAAAAATGAAAGAAATTTCTGAGGAGCAGTTTTCCTTTCAACAGTGGAATAGATGGTAAAGTAGCCCCAATAAGTAAATTTATTAATATGTATTTTAGCACCTCAATTTACAATACGTCCTGAGCAAGTTTTTAAGATACCAAAACATTCAGAAATCTTGATCAGTCAAAAGTGATAATAGAAACAACAGTTCATAATTAACCTTAGAGCATTTGGAGCTTGCTTGTAACCCTCATGACAACCGATACCCATTTTGACTCCATTATTCTCATAAATAGGTGGCTGAATGAGAGAACTTTCTGATTGATTTACAGCTGGAAAATTCATTCATAAAGAAATCTAAACGCAATTTATTGTTGGAACAGTTGCATTGTGTTACTCTAATATGGACTATAAATGTGTCATTTTCCACTTCACCATCAAACTTATGAGCACTCTGTTATCTGTAGCTGATGGAGCAACTGTTACAGCAAAAGATGTTTAGATATTATACCGATTGACTTGGCAACTTTTTTTAACAAGAATTACTAAATAAAAGCAGTGTTTTGTGGAAGAACCACTGGACACATGTTTTAGTAGATTCTCATAGAAATTTTTTTTACGAGGGATTGGTGTCTTGATTTGAAAAAATATAATGGCAGGATGTCACTTTGGGCAGGAGGATCATGCTAGTCTTCCAGACTCTAGGGGTTGTCTTTGGTGATGTGGGGACCAGTCCATTGTATACCTTCAGTGTGATGTTCAGCAAGGCACCAGTCGAGGGAAACGAGGATGTTCTTGGTGCATTATCATTAGTTTTGTACACCTTAATTCTAATTCCACTTATCAAGTATGTCCTTATTGTTCTTTGGGCTAATGATGACGGTGAAGGTATATTACCTTTCTATGATATCTATTATTATACCTGGAATGGAATGGAATTTCAGCGAGCAGTGAGTTATAATTT